GAATGAAATAATCATTGAATAATTATCTAATGGATGGTAAAAACAATTGTACCAAAAGTTCCCTCCACCTGGACTGACAACAACAATAACAGTCCTTTAAAACACAATGTACTTACTTGGATAATAAAGGACCTGTCCAGTGAGCTATTCTAAGACATTCTCTCAAAGGAAACTGCAGAATGAACAAGACTTTTACTTACAGTATAACGATATGTAATATATTATATATCCATGAATTAAATATATTACATTTATTGATAATTATTATCATATTTTAGCTGCCTTGAAAAATCTATTATTTAAAATTCATTATTATTACTTCTATTATTTGTAACGTTTACAGATAATTTATCAATCAGCACCAGAGCTTGGAAATCACTGAAGCGTATGATTTATAATTTCATAAATGTTCGAGGGATGAAACTTGGAAAGAACTATTTTTTTGTTAAACATAAACATGCCTAACTACACTTAGCTCAATATAAAAGAAACAGCTGGCTTCCTTACCTTTAAAATTGGAAAAGAAGTGTCTATGGGGTCAAAAAGAATAGACTTAGAACACATCTTGAGCCTTCCTCTCTGCCGTCTGGAAAACACGTTTAACATAATATTTCAATCATGACTGTTTGAAAAAAATGGTCAGGAACTTACATGTATCAATCGTAAATATTGTAATTGGTTATCTATTGCAAACTGAGGTAATAAATAAATGGGATACACATGTAATTATTAGTTTGTGCCATACATGCGGTCTGTTTGATATATTTGCCTGATGAAAACTCACAGTGTTCACAGTCGAAACATTACTAGCTGATAGTTCAGGGTTTTRAATAAAGGCTAGCCAGTTGCTGGCCATGATGACCAGCCAAATTAGTTTTAACTCAGTCATAACTTATTCCTTGCTCAGCCACCACATCAGCTCTGCTGTAATCTTTGATATCATGTTTAGACAAAGACATATTTATTATTATTATATAATTACCAATGAAATATCTATTTTTCTCTATTTCRAAAAATTGATATCTTCACACGTGAAAATAACATGTTATTTTCACGTGTGAAAATAACACCATTGCGATGGCTATTCAAAAATACA